ATTATTTAAATGGAATGTAAAACTGGATTGGTAGCACCATCAGTAGATCCAAATAGTATTCACAAAAAGACATCTTAGAAGTACTATTAAGGAGAAGTAATACAGAGTGTTACTTGGAGATAAAAAAGTAAACAGAACTTCCAAATTTTGAGGCAGTAAAAAAAAATCTTAGCACTAATTTCATCGAGTTCTAAATTAGTGTACTTTCAGAAAAGAAGAGGTACACACTTAACATACTTTCAAGGAATTAAAAGGGTGAGGGTAGTCATCACGTCTACGTACCATTCGTCCTATAAAACATGTACATGGTGGATCCAGCACAGGTCTCTTCATGCGCCTGTAATCCTACAGCTTGGTTAGGTTGGACCCATGGCAGATGAGGTGAGCTTGAGACCGAGGAGGTTCAAGATCAGCCTTTACAGACACAGTGAAACTGCGTATAAAAAGAAAAAAGAGAATGCTAAAATGAGGTCAATTTTTGCTCGAAAAATAAATGGATTACTTGAACAGTGTATTAAAAACCACATACAAATGTAAAGCGTCTTATACATGATAAATATAAGAACATATAGAATTCTTTACTGTCAAATGATGGTGCAGTAAAACTCTAAGGTGTAAGAATAGTAGAATACAATAAACAAAATATAAATCTGCATAAATCTCTTAATAGGTACACAATACAAAATAATTTTAATATCAATAACACACTGGAAAATACAGAAGTATAGATTTTGTATTCAATTGAAGTTGTTATGAGATAAAATATATTATTTTAACTTTAAGATGTGTTATGTAATCTCCATATTTTAAGATTACAAAATATTCATTAAAAATATGCAAAACAAAATTTAAAAAGTGAAAACATCACTGCAAAATTAAAATCAACAAAAATTAAGGCAGCAAAACAGGAAATGAAAAAACATATCTACAAAAAATACATGAAACAGTGACAATAAAACTGGTAACAGTGACTGCATTTTTTAAGCAATTATTTAAAATATAAATTAACTAAACCACTTAATAAAAAGAAATGCAATCCCAGGACTTTGGGAGTATGACATGGACTGAACATTCGATCCCAGGAGTTCAAGACTAGCCTGAACAACAAGAAAAAACCCTGTGTCTGCAAAAAATACCAAAACAAAACAAAAAACCTGACTGTGTGTGATGGCATATACTTGTAACCCAGCTACTTGAAAGACTGAAACGAGAGGATCATAAAAGTTTCAGTGACTGATGCTGCAGTGAACCATGATCACACCACTGCTAACCAGTCTGGTTGACAGAGTGATACACTATCTCAAAAATAAATGAATAAATAAACAAATAAAATTATTTAAAAATAGCAATAAAATGCCTGAGTGTTTAAAAAAATTGCTTCCATTTTGCCCCTTCCAGGGGCTTTTTTTTAGCTTTGGTTCAACCGGGTTGAAG